AGAAAAAAAAAAAAAAAAAAAAAAAAAAAAACACCTAATAAAAGAAAGAATAATTCTAAATGATGGTACCCTTTCTGAATTTTTAATTTTTGATCCTTGAAATAAAATTGTACTTACCGCAACTGAGAAATGTTTAAAAGAGCTTTCAACCGCCATTAGTTGAGCAGAAGTGAACTTGTTATCTGCCAGTAGCTCGCAATCATGTTCACCGTGCTGATTCTTGTTTTTTCTATAATTTCCAGAGAAGCAGTTGCTGTTGATTAAACACATGCCTTCGCACTCCGTTAGATTTCTAACGCTTAAGGATTGTAAAATATTTGTATTGAGTCGCTCGTTGTCAGTCTCTGCAAAATTACCATAGCTAACGCCCTTCACGAAGTCTCTAACAATTTTCTGCTGTGAGAGAGGTATAATGGTGAAGCAACATACGACAAGAACTTTGAAGATAGATGGAAAGGGCTTTGACAATGCCATAGTCTCGCTGTTAATAAGTAAAAAGACTGAAAGCATCTAAATTAGTGCTCTTGAATTGACAACATATGTTACCATAGAGAAAGTAAGTGTGAGTGACAGTGTGACCTTTTTAATGTCAATGATAAAGTACTTCCATATTGGGTGTGTAAATATATGTCATTCACCGACTGGGAGGTCCGTATTGGGAGAAACTGTGTCCGAGGTCTTGCGTACGGTCGAGGGCGGTACTGAGACCGAGGGCAAAGTTTCCCCCAATACGGACTGACCTAGGCCAGTGAATAACACTTTTTTTTTCCTACTTGCCTTGTCTTGCTAGACAATTCAGAATCCTAATACAATTCTAATACCGTCAGTTACATCAGGATGCACACCATTTAACCAGCCGGGTGCAGCGGTGTTACACTTTTTTTTTAGGTGGACATGAAGTGGTCATCATAAGACCCGCGTCGCCTTGGAAACGAAACCGTCCTGGGCCGATTGACTTATCATTTTCAGGGGGTTCATACAGCACAGGCGTCGATGGTCTCCTGTCGGCTTCGGTCAGAGATGAGTAGTTGTAACATTCTAAAATGAATGAACATGATCATCAATTGTGGGGTTTTCGGTCAGGACCACTAATCTAAGACAGATATCAAAAAGCAATGATCTAGTTAATTTTACCTCTATGTGCTCCACGCTTCTTGTAGAACCGCTCTGAATCTGACACGAAGTTTTCTGGTTTGGCTTCCTTTGTTCTGTTATTAATTTCGCAGATATTATCTTTTATTACGTAGTTATAGCTCTGACATCTGATTTTATGGTGGCAGTAATACAAGCATTCAAAGGTGCTTGAGTTATGTAAAGTCTTGAAGGTGTATCCTTTTAATGCCTTGCCATAAACTAATTCTTCTGACGGGCATTGGTCAGAGCTGCGACACATCCGGAGTGATAAAATGAAAAAGAACGAAGCGACAAAAAACCGACAGCTTAGATACATGGTACTGTGGGAAAATGATTTGAAAAAAATTCCAAATCAAACTTAAATTAACAAATGGTAAACGGCTTAGAGTGTACTATTGATTTATAATACGCACGCGGGAGGTTGCTACGCACGAAAGAAGCGTAAGAGCCGCACGAGGCGATAGCCGAGTCTAGCTTCTCGAGTGCTTAGCAATCCTCCCAAGTTCAACTATACGCCACTTCCACGTTTCCCATAATGCACCTTATTATTCATTCAAAATATTTCCTCCATTCTGATTGGCTAAAAGCACACGTTTGATTCACCATAACCAGTTACTGATGACCAAATTTGGAAGAATTTTGTGTTTAGCGAGGAAATGAGGTCAAAAATGCAGCGTTCTTGCAGATTAATGCTCGTTAACCGAGAAGACCTGGGGACGAGGTTGAGTTGTTTTGGTTGGGGATTTGAAAAATGGCGGACACTTCACTCGTTTCAAAAGTAAGAACTATGCGAAAAAATAGCTAAAAACATGACATGAACAGCAAGAAGACATCTTCAAGGGCGACATCTGCTATTTGGAGAATATTTGCGGAGCTGAACGACCCAAAACGTGCACTATCGAAGAAGAACTTAACATCGATGGATCGATGGAGGTAAGCATGTTTTAGCAATGTTTTTAAACTAGGAATTATTTTGAATGAATAATAAAACAATTATTGAATTCGGCTTTCGTATCATATGAAGAATTATGGAGATCTCAGAGGGTGTTATCCGCCTCGGTCTACGGCCTCGACGGATAACACCCTCCTTGATCTCCTTAATTCTTCATAAGATACTCAGCCTCATTCATTAATTGTTATAATCATTTGCCCCCCTTGAACATCATCATTACCATCACCATCATTGTCGTCTTCATCATCATCATTCAAAATTACTTGAAATTTGAAAAATAATTTAAAAACTAAATCCTTGTCGATTACAAGCTCATAACGAAAGCGATCTACTGTGGCCCACAAACGAGCTACTTTGGATATAAACCGTAGTTTTAGTCCAGTTAAAAGATTTCTCTCTTTAATAGGCAAGGAAGGTATAGGTTAATCTTTTGTAACTCACCCAGTTAGTAAGAATTTACTGTCAGTATTGAATTATGCCCGGTTAATGAACGCCTGACCAATGCCAGCTCTTATAACAAGAGCCTTTTTATTTCACGAGGGGTTACTAATATGGGAAAGAGGAGAAAAAAGGTTTGCCTAGCCAGCGTCCCTTGCGCTACTTATCAGTACTGGCTCATTTGTTGTAAGTCAACAGGATCAAACAGGGCCAAGAATAAGGCTTGACTTAATTTCAGATTAAAGGTAGTTCAAAGATACTAAATCCTTTAAGTTTTTAAATCATCACGCATATTAAGGCTGAGGTGATATTTTCAGTTGTTAAGCACGAATGAATTGCTTAATCTCTGATACGTATTCGCAGTCATACTCTTGTATCATCTTAATATTTACTTGTCAACCATAGACGCCTGGCAGCAAAGTAAAATAGTTTACATAGGAAAAACACGCCATGAGCTAATCAGGATTTTAAAGTTGGCTAAGGTAGGGGGATTGTTTCTGACAATAAGAACTTCCGCCAAAAAAA